ATGAGCCTTCATAGTGGAGAGAAATTCTCTTCCCCCTGCAAGCCTTCCGGAGATGGTGTGAATTTCTCCGATAAGCTATTGGTCTTCCTGATTACGGGGTGGTTCTGGCGCCTGTCCCCTACGGACAACATACTGGTGTAAGTGACTCTGTTGGATGAGCTCCTCAATCTGCCTTTTGGGGTTATAGCAATCATTGGTGTGATGGTCATGGTCGCGATGGAAGCGACAATACTTGTTTGGGTTCCTTCGATTTGGGGAAAACTTTATTCTCCCAGGCCACTTTATTGTAGGGTCATCCTGGATCTGTAATAGGATGTGCTCGACAGTGGCATTGAGGGGAGTGAAGACTTGTTGATCTCTCTGGGGAGCAGGACCGAGCCGATCTTTGGCAGACACTCTCTCCATCTTGCTACGCTTGTTATTATTCTCCTTCTTATCGTCTCTATCTTTTTCTTTTCTATTCTCTCTAACTCTAGATGACTCCCCTCGTCTGGCCCTTGTAATGTCCTCGATATTCATGTGTTTCTGGGCCTTCGCCAACAACTTTGACATGCTCTTCGGTGGGCGCTTCATTACAGAGAAAAGAAAACTTGACGACTGAAGGCCCCCTAGGAAGGCGGTCATGCGCACCTTATCATCGGACTCCTCGACCTAAATGACCTCCTCGTTAAAACGAGTAAGGTAGCTCCTCAGGATTTCATCTCGGTCCTACTTTATGCTGAGCAGGTGGGTGGCAGGCTTCTGGTGGCGACATCCTCCAATGAAGTGTGACATGAAAGACCTGCTCAGCTCAGCAAATGTGCCAATAGAGGCTGAGGAGAGTTTGGCGAACCATTGCCAAGCGGGTCCCTTTAAGGTGGTTGGGAATGCTCTGCACATGATTTCATCGGGGACGTTGTGTAATTGCATTAAGGTTTTAAAAGTTTCAAGGTGGTCCAGCAGATCCTTCGAACCGTCAAAGATCTCAACAGATGACATTTTGAATTTTTGGGGGAGTGGGTAGTTCGCCACATCAGCTTGAAAAGGTGTGTCGATTTGACTTACGAGGTAGTCTACTGTCTCGGGGCCCTATGCCTTCATGGCGTTGAAGACGTCACCCAACTGATTTTACACCTCCCTAATTTTTTTGTCCCATTTATTGGGAGGAGGTCCTTTGGAAGTACCACGAAAATGACTCTGATACTCCATGCTTTGGTTTTCACCCTCATCCTCTTGGAGATGAGGGTCTCTAGCATGGGGAGCATGAGCAGGGGCTGGAGGAGGAGGTCCCTCATGGTGGGCCTCCCCATGTGCAGCACCCAAGGGAGTTCCAAAAGGTGGGGCGCCCAAGGGGGTGCTTGGATGGGGAGCGCCTTGGTGAGGAGCTCCTTGATGACCAGGGAATGGAGCTCCCTTGGCTTGAGGTCTAGGTTGCGCCCCTCCTTGTTGCCCGAGCATTAACTGTAGAATTTATTGATTCTAGGCCACGAGCTGCTGCATGGTCTCCAACATCTGCTGTGCATTTGGGATGGGATTGGCAGGCGGAGGAGCAATCTCCTCCTCTCGTGGTGGATTGTCTTCAGGGGGATTCATCGATCTGATGGTGACGACGATAGATTCAACAAAGAAAGTGTTTAAGTGAGAATTTTGTTGTTTCCCATAGACGGCACCAAACTAATGATGCACCAAATCGATTTGCACACCACCCTTCAATTAAGCAATATAAAATGTAGTAAGTAGAGGGAGAGAGAAAACAAGGTTTATAGTGGTTCGGTCAATGAGACCTACATCCACTTTCAATGGCTAGGTTGGCCAAAAATTTTATTGACTTCGATGCGTTGGGAGAGTAAGAATTACAAGAGAGAGGGAGATGAGCTTGATTTTGTTGAGATGCCCCAAAGTGTTGGGGGAGCTGACAATTTATAGAAACATGCATAGTAATTGAGTAGCTTGACGGTTATAACGGACCGAAAGCAACTTAATAGTTGATGACCTCTTCTCTCCCTGGAGACCTCTCCTCTTCCTCAACGGATAAGGGTATAGCTCCTGGATGCTGTTGTAGCTCCTTGATGGGCTTGATTGTCTTGGACCTCATAAGGCTTGCTTGGTCTTCTATAAGCTTGGGCTTTTTCCTATGGATTTGGTCATTTGGACTTGACCCATAAATATCTTTAATAATCTAATAAATGAATGAATATCTATTTTTTTATTATTTTTAATAATGAATTTTATTTTAGGAATAAACATGATTTTAGGAAGATATCTTAGTTTTAGCAATAAACTAAATTTTTGAAAGAACTTTGAATTTGAATATTTTTTCTTTTTTTAAAATACACAATTAAATTGGCTACGAGATTACCACCATTGATAGTGGGTTTGAGATTCTCATTATCATTGAGAATTTAATTCCAATAGTGATCTTATTGTTGATGATATAAATTATTGACTCATTAACCACCCAACACATGGTAATTCATGGATTTAAGAATGAGATTATCATTTCTAACTAAGATTATTGACATTCAAATGGAGCCTTATGAGTGGTTTAGTGACTGAGCGTAGCATCTGATAACTTAGAGTGTCTCAACATCAATATTTTTTATAGCCCATAAGAGTAAGTCATCCTTATTCATCAAGGAGATGTTCTAAACTCGTTCGGACTATGATAGTCAGTGTTCAAACTCAAGGGAGTAGTCAAACTCAAGGGAGTAGTCAGTGCAAGTCTAGATAATCTGTAACAAAAAAAAATCTAAATTGGACATATAAGGAGTTTTATTTCTACAATAATAACTGAAATCATTAAAATTAAAAAATTGAAATTTTCATATAATTCGACCTGAATAGCTCGAAGAGATTAAATTTTAGTGGTTTTATATGAATTTTAATTTAATTTTTATCATATAGTGATAAGTAAAACAAATAACACAATCCCATAAGAAGAGTAGAGATGTGTATCAATGGTTGTCTTCACAATAATAAAAGACGTCCCTTTGATTTGGACGTATAATTGTTTGGTACAATGAATGAGGACTAATCTTCAGTAGGAAATTAAGTAATATTAGGCAAATTACAAATATTCTACGCCATTAATTACGCCAATATATATTTTAATTCGTATATAATTTAGATTGAATCTTTATTTTATTGAATATCAATATATTTATAACTTACTTATAGTCGATAAAAATACCAATCCATTTTTTATGGTAAAAAATAAAAAAAAAATAGATATGCGGGAAAATAGAATTGATTGTGTTTTTAGAAATCATATTTCTCACCAACTACAAATCCACCTTTAAGATGGGGATTTAGGTAGAGAAATAATTGACCAACAGCTTAGCTACTCTTGTAGCAAAAACAAAATTGTCAACCCTCACAGCTAGTTCAAGAGTATGGAATTGAATCAAGACTAAACGTAAATTCAAGCTGATTCACGCTATTGTTTTCTAGACTTAACTAATACCTATGATTTACTAATAATTACAAAAATTCGGAGTTTACTCGCGTAGTCTTGCTCAAATTATTTATTATTTTTATAAATTAAAAAAAAAAAAGAGTACCAACGTGAACACATCGCAGTTGCTTTCATCGGAGAAAGCGGGGAAAAAAAAATCTCAGCTTCAGTTTGGATGCATATTAATGACCTATGCATGGCCCACTTAGCTAATATAGGCCATTCTATCATTTTGGCAGCACTGTGTATATGTCAAGCCGCCCCCCTTTATTTGGTCGTAATTTTTTTATTTCGTGTGTTGATCTTTCCTCACCTAACACAAAGCACTAAAGCTATCATATATATATATAATTCTTTATTATACCCAAAAATGATATCAGAAATAAGTAGGATGATTTTTCCGTAACTGATTTGTGTCGAGAGTTAATGGACAAAATCTGTCTCTCGTCTTTCAGTTGTAAACATAACCTCCGGTAAAAGTATCTAGGTCATTCACGTACGACCTCAAACGAAGATATTCAAATCCTCCACGAACGACTTCAAATATAGATACTCAAGTTGTACATATTACATCATGAAAAGATACAGTATTTCTGACTCACTAAGACAGAACAAACTCATTTATCCACAAGTTATCCGAAGGAAAAAGACGTCAACCCCAACTAGATGACCTTTCATAAAAATAGAAGATCGCGTTGTATTTGGGTTTAATGAGGGGTCTCTATGCCACCTTACCATGTTCTAGAAAACCATGTCACACCTAAGGAATATAGTTTCTAATAATCAAATATTCTCCTAATAAATTAGAGATTATGTAATGATGACGTGAGAACCACCCATGTATCTGAGAATAAATACAAGGGCATTTACCCATTTACAAGGCACCAAAGGAGGCAAATTGCAATTCCCCCATCACTATAAAATCTCTCAAAGAGCCACCAAGCTCAATCAGATACGGATCATTCACACACTGTTAATATACACGTCACTGTTCTTAAGCCTTGAACTCTTCAATTCAAGCGCACACCTCACGCTTTGCATTTCTTATATCAATTATAATCTTCAAACAAAAGGGAAGCCTAAACAAATGCAGAATTTATAGCAAATGCTACATATTTATGTAGCTACAAACCTTCCATGTAGCCAAATCACATTTCTAGCGTTTGTCCATTACAAGCAACCAAAAGATAAAAAGGGAAGATTATGACGGAAAAAGGAGAACTCAAAGTGGACAGGTTAACAATGGTTTGTGAAACACGACATCACTCAATTCATCAATCACTGACAATTTAATAGGATTTGGAAGTAAATCCTTGAACTGAAGATTTATATTGATATATTCACAGTAGAGAAAACTCATCGCAAGTTTAGAGCTATTTTTGCTATGTATAGATTTCAATGTACAAAGCAAGACAGCACGAGAAGCCATCAGGGCAAAACGAGAAGAAGACCACCATAACTCCCATCCTGTTTATATGCATAACAAATATCATGCAGACATTTGATAACTTATATTCACTCAAAAAAGAGACAATGACGATTGCAAGTGTTCAGATATGTCTTTCTTTTACGACATGTATACTTGCACACTTGCAGTCTTCATTGCCTGGCACACGGGGCAAACATCAATAAACCCTTCACATTCCTTGCACAGACACAAGTGTCGACATGGAAATAACAAGAAGGAGACTTCTTTAACCTTGCAAGCTTTGCAGTTCAGCTGTCTTTTTGTGGAAACTACATTTCCAGAACCACCCGCAAAGCCCTGATGGTTAGTGTAAGAGGCAGCATCATCTAACTCACTGTCCCCCCAACCTTCCCTCGCGTGTACAGCACCTTGTGCAATGACCTGCTGAAGATTGCCCTTAAGGGCAATGACTAATGACTCATTGTACTTGGCTCTGTAGTGCCAGGACTGAGCATCCATTGCAACCTTCTTTATTTTCTCCCCAAGTTCCTTGTTCTTGTGGTTCATGTTCTCAATTTCAAGCTCTTTCTCGCATAATTTCCTGCTGACTCCATTTTCTAAAGCATTTAATAAAGAAGCTGTGTGTCTCTGATTCAGATCCCTTAAACCCTTTGTGATGTTTTCTTCCTGTTTGAGAGAGATCAAATATAAGCAGCAGCAAAAGTAACAACAGAGAAAATACAAACTAAAAGCCTCTGGTCCACATTTCATGTCAGGATCCAACCCCAACCCTTTTTTTAATTTCACTAACATCTAAAATTTTCACCCGTTTTTTCATATAGGCTTCATTTGTAATCCATGGAAATACCACCATTTTAACATGTCACTTTATCAAACAAAAACAATATCCAAAAGTTTACTAATAGTTGGGGAGGGGGACTTCAGGGAAAGATACTTTTTATTTTAATCAAGCTAACTAGAAAACGCGTAACCCCCATTTTCCAAGAGTTAATGCCTCACTATGACACAAAATTTTAATGCGTACCCCACATTTTCCAAGGGTTAATGCCTCACTACGACAAAATTTTATCCCCAATGGAAAAGTTGTTAATTACAAACTAACTCCTAAAGAACCCAATTTACCTGAACTCTGATATAATTGTCAAATTCAGCTTTTGGCAAATCAACATCAACTCCAACACCATTGCTGAGGGACAACATACCAGGAAGAGCAGCTTTCAGGTTTTCACCAGCAGAAGTAACAGAAGAGTTGCGTTCATCTTCCTCGTATGAAAGTCTCAATCCAGTTGATACAGGATTTGGGTTCAAAATGCTTCCAATTAGCCCACCAGGTTCATCTTGACAAACGTTATTATTTATAGACATGTGCAGCTTCTGCTGTCCATATACAGTTACTGGCTCCCTGCCTCTTTTGGTACGACAATTTGTAGGAGTTGCATGCTCACTACCCATGTAGCCACAACTAATTGGAACTGCAGTATGCAACGCCAAAATTTCTTTCAAGAGATTAGAATGTTTGACCAATCATACCAACTAAATAAGATCATCAAACATTGATAGAATGATTGTGATTCAATAAGTTAATCTTACAGGGAGGGCAATAAGGGGAACGAGTGGTGAAAATACAGGTATAGGCACTGCCACATGATTATCCTAAGAATGGATCATACCTGATGTGAATTTCAAGGGTTCTCCCATCACCCATCGTGTGTCCACTAACTTATATAAGCGGACTGAACGCATCTCAACAAAGCTTCTCGCAATTATTTTGGTGTAACCATGCTTATGTGAGGTAACTGTCCACAATTAAGAAAACTATGTCATGTCTTTTTAAAATGCTATACATAGTGGGGATGGAATCTCTTTCTCTCTCTCTCTCTTTCTTTGTGCAAAGGTCTATCTCCTTCCCTTAACTGTGCTTATTATCGTACCTTTGTTTTTCCTGGTTAACAGCGGGGTTTGACTCTGTTGGAGATATAGCAGCTTAGTTTATTAGGGTTTATTAAGTTTTCCCTTTTTTACCTTTTTATTACCTTATTGTAACTTTCATTGGCTATATATACGGGGGCTCTACACTTAGTTTGTATCCTTTTGACTCATACATATCTCTCTTCTTGGTATCAGAGCCTAACCTCCATCTCTAACCCTAATCCTAACCTTAACCCTAGCCTTCATCACCTTCCCTACCACCAGCCATCCAGTCCCCCAGTTACATTCCATTGTCGGTCACAAACCAGAAACATCATCAACAAACCCAGCCAAAAAAAAAAAAACCACAAAGCACCGACTGCCGTCATAAAGCACCGACTGCCTCTCTGCCTCTCAAGCCAACCAAACCCAGTACCTACATAATCCAGTTCAGTCCAGTACCTATATAATCCAGTCCAGTCCAGTACCTACATAATCCAGTCCAGTCCAGTACCAAACCCAGTCCAGTACCAAACCCAGTCCAGTCCAGTCCCAAACCCTGTCCAGTCCCAAACATAGTCCAGTCCAGTCCTAAACCCAGTCCAAACCCAACACAGTACCCACTCTAGTGGACCAGCCTACTGCTGAGTCGTGTTCACAGTTTCAAGTTATGCCTTCGTGCGCCTGATTATTCGGGACCATATGACCTTTTAAGAGGGGTTAATTTCTCTTCTTCGTTGATCTGCTCTTGATGCAGTAGATCATTTATTTATATTTATTGGATTTCTAGGCACCGTGTCCTGATTATTTGGGAGCTTTATGGACCTTTTTTACCTGTCACTACTGTTCGACTGGAGGTATATGTTCTTCCTTATTTTATCCATCTATTTATCTTAGAGTTGTTTTTCTGTCACGAGTGCTCTAGTATTATTGATGATATGACTACTACTGAGGGAGTTGAGATCCCTACTGTTGAGACATTTGTTAGTACTTCCACCGGGTATAGGGGTCGACAGCACTCGGCCCAACGCCGTCAGGGTACCCCACATCAATGTAGATATGGAGATTCTCGTCAGTGTGATTATTGTAGCTAACTAGGACATCTCAGGGCTACTTGTTGGAAGCTCCATCCAGAGCTTAAGCCACCTCCTCGCAGCCATACAACTACCATTGCTAAGGCACCACCACCTACAGTCATTGCTCCTGCTACTACTGCTACTGCTCCTCCTTGACAGAGTGATAAGGATCCTATCACTTCTCGCTTGGATATACTTATGTCAGCCTTGACTTCTCAAGGTTCGACTACTACTACTGTCATTACTAAAGGTATACCTCGTGTCTTTCATACTTGCGCCAGTTCGTCTCTTCTTTGGATGCTGGACTCGGGTGCTAATGTTCATATGACAGATGAGGCCCATCATTTCACCTCTTTTGACGAGCAGTTACATTCTCAAGTTCAGTTAACAGATAGTACACATGCCCCTATTGTTAGTAGGGGTACAGTTCGCCTCCCAGATAGCTTTACATTACGTTCGGTGTTTCATGCACCAAAACTTGTCATGAATCTATTATCTGTACATCAGTTAGCCAGAGATTTTCACTATGCAGTTGTGTTCGTATTTGATTCGTATTATTTGCAAGACCTAAATACCAAGAGAATTATTATCAAGGGACATGAGAGAGATGAATTGTATTATTTAGGCGATCCTCCTCCCGTTTCACCAGTTTCTCCACCTCCACCTCAATCACCTGTTTTGTCTTTATCTGTTCCTAACTTACATGCTAGTATTTTACCTAATACTTGTCGTTATGATTTTTCATCACAAACCGTGCAGTTGTGGCATGATTGTTTTGGACATACAAATTTTAAATATTTATATATGTTATTTCCTGTTTTGAGCAAAGCTTGTGTTAATGATAAACTTGACTGTGTTATATGTTCCCTATCAAAACATGTTCGGACCAGTTATATTCCTCACATGCACCAGTCACCCAAACCATTTGACCTAATACACTCGGATATTTGGAGACCTTCTCCTATTACAGCTCTGTCAGGTGCCCGATACTATGTGACATTTATAGATGACCATACCCGTTATACTTGGGTCTACCTTTTACATAAGAAGTCTGATGTACTCCCTGTCATTACTCAATTTCTTCAGATGATTAAAACACAGTTCGATGTCATTGTTCGTACTCTTCGTTCAGATAATGCCAAAGAATATGTGCCTGATGCCTTAGTGTCTCACCTTTCTTCTCAAGGTATCCTACAGCAGCTCACTTGTCCATATACTCCTGAGCAAAATGGAGTTGCTGAAAGAAAAAATAGGAGTCTGATAGGGATGGTACGTTGTATGCTTAGAAGTATGGGAGTACCAAAATCTTATTGACATTTTGTTGTTTTGACTTCTACTTTTTTGTGCAATCGTACACCGAGTCGTGTTCTTCAGCATAGGGCTCCCTTACAGGTCTTATTCTCCGAGCGGACACTTTTTTCGGTCCCCCCTCGTGTTTTTGGCTACACATGTTTTGTTTAGGATCGGTCTCCTACTCGTCATAAGCTCGATAATAAAGCGATTCGTTGTGTCTTTGTGGGCTATTATCATTAGTCTAAGGGGTATCGGTGTTATGATCTTGTCAGGCGACGTATGTATCACAGTCTAGATGTTACCTTCCTTGAGCATATTCCTTATTTTTCTTCCAGTCCTGTGTCTGCCCTTCCAATTGATGATACTCCCTTTGATTTTCCATTACCACCGGAGTCAGAGCCATTGGTCACTATTACTACAGAGTCATCGGTCTCTCCTCCTCCAAAGCCACTCATCCCTGTCAGTACAGAATCACCAGTTTCTCTTCCTTTACAGGTTTATGTTCGTCGTCCTCGCTCTCATCTCCATGCTGATGTCCCTTCTACCTCAGGCAATGCAGATAATACTTCTCAGTTTGTTAAGCATATTGATGCACCTGTTGTTAGTACTGATGAGATTGCAGGCACTGACCCAGTTGTTTTATCTGATGAGACATTATCAGTGGAGGAGGATGATTTAGGGCGTCGTTATCTGCGACGTAATCGTCATCCAGTTGTTCGTTATGGTTGGACCGCTAGGATTTTATATCCAATCTCTGCTTATGTTTCTTATGGTGATCTGTCTCCTACATTTCGAGCTTATAGTATGGTCTTATCAGATACGCCGGTTCCTCGCTCTGTTTCAAAGGCTATGCGAAAATCCCAATGAATTTTTGTCATGCAGACAGAGATGGACGCTCTTCAGCGTAATCATACGTGAGGTCTTGTCTCTTTACCTTCAGGGGTGAAGCCTGTTGGCTGTCGCTGGATTTACACCCTGAAGTTTCTTGCGGATGGTACTATTGATCATCACAAGGCTAAGCTTGTGACAAAGGGCTTTACTCAGATACCAGATCGTGATTTTGGTGCTACCTTTGCTCCCGTGGCAAAATTGACTACTGTTCGACTGATTATTTCTCTGGCTGCGGAATACTCTTGGCTTCTTCATCAGTTAGATGTGAAAAATGAATTTCTTCACGGTAATCTGAACGAGATTATTTATATGGATACACCACCGAGATTTCGTGGTGAGGGGGAGTATGCTAGAAAAAAGGTTTGTCGACTGCGTAAGTCTCTTTATGGACTGAAACAGTCACCACGAGCATGGTTCTCTCGATTTAGTGATGTAGTTGTACGTTTAGGATTCACCAGATGTCATTCTGATCATACCTGCTTCATTCGACAGAATACTTCCGGACAGTGTGTCATCCTTTTGGTATATGTTGATGATATTATTATTACTGGAGATGATGTTTTTGGGACTGCGCAAGTTAAGGTAGACCTTGAGATGGCCTTCGATGTGAAAGATCTTGAATTTTTTGCGATACTTTCTTAGGATTAAGGTTGCCCGTAGCAGCAGAGGTATTGTTCTTTCTCCGAGAAAGTATGTTCTGGATCTTCTCTCAGATATTGGGATGCTGGGATGCAAACCGGCATCATCACCTATGATTCCAAAGCCGAAACTTACTGCTGAAGGTGAGGAGTTGGGAGATCCGACTGTCTATCAGAGGTTGGTAGGTAGACTTATCTACCTAGCCAACACTAGGCCAGACATTTCATTCGTTGTCAGCCGAGTTAGTTAATTCATGCACGGACCATGTCAGATTCATCTTGATGCAATTTATCATATTCTTCGGTACCTCAAGTCTTGTCCTGGACTTGGGTTGTTCTATGTATCAGGATCTCAGATTGGTTCTCTAGCCTGTTATTCAGATTCAGATTATGGGGGAACATGTGACGGTCGATCTACTACGGGCTTCTGTGCTTTTCGAGAAACTCATCTTATCTCTTGGAAGAGTAAGAAGCAGTCAGTTGTCTCTCGCTCGTCAGCAAGGCAGAGTGTTGGACACTGGCACTTGGCACATATGAGATTATCTGGCTACGATCGATTCTTGACGAGTTGGGACTTCTAGTGACTTCTTCATCTACATTATATTGTGATAATCGATCTGCTATTCAGCTCGCTTCTGACTCTGTATTACACGAGAGGACGAAACATATAAAGATCGATATTCACTTTTTTCGGGAGAAGGTTAGCAGTGGGATTGTCACTCCATTGTTTGTGGGGACTAGTGATCAGGTTGCAGATGTTTTCACCAAACCTGTCACTCTATCCATTCTTCGGGACTCAATTGTCAAACTTGGCTTAGTTGACATTTTTGCGCCTAGTTTGAGAGGGAGTGTTGGAGATATAGCAACTTAGTATATTAGGGTTTATTAAGTTTTTTTTTTTTTACCTTTTTATCCTTATTGTAACTTTCATTGGCTA